ATTTTTAATAGAATTTTGCGAGTTTATGAAAAGAACACATATGTATGTGTAAATGTATGTATGCACTTCTATGTATATAAAATAAATTACTGCTTTTAAATAACTCTATTAAAATAACGGTAAAAACAATTGCTTGTGCGATCCGTGATGACTGAGGTCATGGATGTTATGGCTATTGCGCGCAAAAAATTTAATTAAAAAAAAAATCTACCAAAACGAATCACAAATCATCATAAGTGGGGAAATTGGCGTGGCCTTATTCATAAAAAAAATAATAAAGTAGGTTTAAAAAAGGTTTATAAACTGAAAAATGTATGAAAACGTCATTTTAAAAAGCTCTTTAAACCTATTGGTCTGAAAATAAAATTGTTATGAGTGAAAAGGTTGCTGTGAAAATACGCTATTCCCATATACATATGTATGCGCATTCACCTGTAAAACAGTAGATTAGGTTTCCAAATAAATTCAATTTATTGGCTTGGTATCCATAAAACTTTCACACATTTCATACATTTCGATTTTCTAAGATTTTCGACAAAAAAGTAATAATAATAATAAAAAAATTTAATGCGAATATCTCGATTTTTGATAAAACCACTTATCTGGTTTTGTAAGGTTTGATTTATCATCGAGAAATAATGAGCTTCGATATAAGAATTTTGTATTTTTATTAAGCCTTTACTAAAACTTCATCTTAAACTACCCTTGGGGTTGGTACATAGTGTAAATGAGACATGAGAACTCACCTTGAAGGAAAAATGGCTGAACCCGAATAAAGCTGTTTTGTGAAATGTCCACAAAAATTCACTGCAAAAATTCATCGTGAAACCGCGAAACCGTTTGTTATGACACACAAGCAACAATTTATGCATCGATGAGTTAATCTCGAACATAGCGGCGATTTTCGCTCTTTTTTTATTCCAGGTGTGAATTGAAAAATGACTTGCCGTGAGCTATACACATGTGTACATAATACTTATGATGAAGCGTTAGTTAGCACATATATGGGCAGTACATAGTATGCAAATAAGTATTGATATTTGATGGCTGTGAAAACGAATTTAAATTGTATTCTGCTGTAAGGGCGTATGTAATGTAAAAAAATATAACGAAACTCTTTTCACCAATACCGCGCCGATGAGGTTTTAAAATGCAAATTTGAATTTTCAGGAGTATGGAATTTAAATACATATATACAAATTCTTTCTACTGATGTTTTTGTATGAAATGGCGTAATATATGAAAGCACAGAAATATGACACATATGTTTGTGTAAACAAGAATTTTTTTCTACGTGCAAACGATTTACGAGTACTTTCTATGAATAAGCTGACGTTTTAACGTATAGCGCTGCGGTTTCGTTAAAAGCGTTTTTTGTTCGCGTATACATATTTGCATTTCAACGCCTTGACAATGATAAGCCTACATTTCGTACGTTTTGGTTCGCGCGATTTAAATAAGCTTAACAAAACCACGGCATACGAGCTGCTGACATTTCAGTTTAACAGGTTTGATGTATAAAAGCTTAAACAGACGGCAGAGTTGATCCGGACTAACTCAGACTTAATCCGGATCAACTGTAGTTAATTTCCGAGTTTATCCGGATCAACGTTGCCGTCTGTTTATGCTTTAGGGAAGAAATGCGAATGGGTCTGGTGATAAACGACAACCGGACTAAGTAATTCCTATCATTAAACAAACATTCATTTCGCTGTTGATGGTTACAATTTCGAATAAGTAGCGAGTTTTATTTATTTGGGAACCAGCATTGACTCTGACAATAATGTCAGTCTCGAAAAAAAAACTACTTTGGACTGAGTAGAAAATTAAGAAGTAAAGTCCTCTTTGTACGCATGAAAACTACACTTATCATGCCTGTGTTAGTATGTATGTGCTGCAGAAAATGAACAATGACAAGAGGCGCCTGCTGGAGTATTCAGGAGAAAGATTTTGCGGAAGATTTACGGGTGTTCACGCCCTGGCGATGGCGAGTACCGCAGACAAAGAAACGATGGGCAGTATGAGCCGTACAATGAGGGAGGCGGTGCGGTGAAGAAGAAGAGAAACGAGTGGCGTTTTTTATTGAACACCCCCAAAGTCGCTTATTTCATTACAGCTCCAAACAACCAGAAGAAGATTCTTGGTTGAATTTCTAGGCTGGCGCCGCACAGTGGGACGTCCCCATATAAGCTGCGGCCAAAAGTAGTAACCGTACTAAAAAGTCGCTGAAATTTCGTATATACGGTATTCGGCACTTAGGAATGAAGAAATGTGGAAAATGGTAAAATTTAACGCGCTACCACGCCCACAGCTCTTGAGGGCGGAAATAGTAAATGTTATGCGATTTTGATGAAATTCAGAGTATATGCTGGTTTTAACGAGAAAAGCTTAAATATGAAAGATCGTCAAAATCGGTTTACACTATCGTCCAGTTATTCCAAAAAAACAGGCACAAGTTAAAAAAAAATATTTTTTTGATAAAATTCGGTGTGCCCTGCTCGTTTAAGCCAAAATTTTCCAACTTGGAAGATAATAAAGAATTTCTTATTAAGGCGCCCAACTCCTACACAACTTTTTTGGCTCCAAGAACTAAATTTTACGAATTTTAGAGAAAATGAACAGGCACATTTATTTTATTTCTAAAGCAGTTCCTATATCTTCATTTTGAAATAGACAAAACGAAAACATTTACAATACCTGCATACCAAATTATGTGCACGATATGTACCCTGCAGGGAAAAATTATCAATTGTTAAAACTAACCAACTTATAGTTAGCTTTTTGGCGAGATTTCGATTAATACCTCACTTTTAATTAGCTATGACAAAACCAACTTAAAGTGAATTGTAAAGTCGTGCAGGAGTCATGCAGATGCAATCGGGAGTTGGTTTTCTTTACAAGTTTCTATTAAATATCCTCATACAAAAATTACTTTCAATACACTTTTTTTCTGAACTTCGCAGATTCTTTTTCATATTCAGGACAAATAAAAGGAAGATCGAAATTTTATACTATCATTTTGAAGTTATGTCTGACGGTGTTCGAATATGGGGCCACCCAGAGCAGAATATGTAAACAAATATGAAATGTAATAAAATAAAGTAAATAAATAAGTAAATAAAAAAGTAAAAAAACCAAAAAAATATTTTGTTTTTCTTATTGATATTTTATGTCC